GGAGGTCATTGGTGCCCGTGTCCATCCATCACTGTGCGAGAGATAGGGGACACCCTGGACAGGTCACAAGTCCATCACAGACACACATAGAGACAAACAAGTATTCACTTTCATTCACACATAGGAAACATTTAGTTACCAATCAGCCTATGCATGTTTTTTGTTTGTGGGAGGAAACTGGAGTATCCATAGAAACCCATGCATGGAGCATAGGCATCACAACCATTATATGTGAAGGGGACATGTCCCCCCCCACATTCAAAAAATGTTCATTTGGACCCCCCCCCCCCCCATTTTTACTATGAAACATTAGTTCAGTCGGAACTGTTTCTTTCTTCGTGAACGAATCCATTCCACTTGATTAATAGGAGAATACTCAAGCCACTAAAACTCCACTCCAGGTTTTCCTGGTTACCTCCAACTCTAAACACAGCAGCTTTGCTGGCTGCACAGTTTCTCCTCTACGTCTCCTCCTGCCTCGGCAGAAAACACGCACAGGTGGAGGAGATGGAGACACCTCTGTGTTGCTCGCACGCCAGTTTAGCGGGCTTAGTGCGGGCAGTTGCTGACCAGTGGGGATTGATCATAAACATGTATACATGTTCAGGAGGATGCGAGAGGAGCGCTACGTCTATAGCATGTTCTCTTAGCAGTAACTGTGACGCTGTAAGACGCTGCATGTGTAAGAGATGCTGTGTGTTCAGGTGCATTAAAGTTGAAATGTCTTTAAACCCCCACACCTTATTGTCCTCAAGCTTCGTGAGAAACATAATTTAGATGAGGAGTGTTGAACACAAGTAAAAATGTCTAGTGGTGATGTTTTTGTATTTCTCTATAAACACAAATAGTGCCGACCTGATGCTCTGTATTAAAGTTAAATTGTCTTGAAAACCCACAGCTGAATTTACTCAAATTTGGTGAGAAACATGTTTTAAATGTGTGGAATTAAAGGAAAACTAGGTGAAATGCTGCTTTTTTGTACACTAGTGTACATTTTTTTACGTGCACACACACACATACACACGTGCGCGCGCACACACATCATTGTGTCCCCCCACATTACGGATGCTTCTGACGCCCTTGGCATGGAGAGAACATTCAAACTCCACCCAGAAAGGTCCCTGGCTGGGATTTGCTCCAGAAACCTTCTCGCTGAGAGGCTGCACCTGCACCACCATGCCACCCTATTATTTACTGCATTATAGATACAGTATGTATGTATATAAGTAGAAAAACAGCGGAATCCCCTCTTTTTCCTATAGCGGTTTAGACCTGGATCTGAACATCCTATGAGACGAGACACAACCGAAGCTGCCAGGAGGTGCAGCTTACAAAAAGGGACAATATTTGATTTATATATGAGAATACTCGTCTTTGGCACTGATGGCTTTCCACAGCCAGGTTTGCCTCTGGTTGGGGCTTTGTCTGTGTGTGGTGTGTGTCTTTGTGTGTTTGTCTGAACTTGTTTTTGTCATGTTTTATGAACTTTTCTGGTATAGTCACCCACTCAGTCTAGTCCTAATACAACAGGACAATAGTTTGGGGTTAAGGGTCAAGTTTATGACTAATATGCAAATTGAGATTAATTAAAATTAGGACAAGCATGTACTGGTAATGTTATGGGCAGGGTTACAGTACAAAAAATAATGAAATGTCCTATTAAAAATACAAATCTGAACTTGCCTACAAGTGCGTGTTTGTACGTGCATTATTAAAGTTGCTGTTTGTATTTTACTTGTATTTATTATTTATTCTAACTTGTATTAAGGAACAAAAATGTAATTCTTAACAATTTTCCAATCTTTTATTAACCCTTCTTTTTTGTTCTTCCCTATACCCCTCTATCTATTGTCTCTTCATTTATTTTTCATCCTTTCCACATAAACTGTCTTTCCCTTCTTCCTTTTTGTTTTCTTCTATCTGTTCTTTGCTTTCCTCCTTTTAAAAAATCAACTCTTTCTCTCTCCATACCATTTGTTCCATCTTGCTTGTTTCCTTTTCCCCCCTTTACCCAACACAACTGTCTTTTCCCCTTAGACTCCCTGCAGCACGTCCTGGGGGAGTATGGACTGGTTAAGCCGATCAGTGTGGATGCAGAGGGCCGCTTCCTGTCACACGCCATCTCAGCTGGACGGGTGGCAGGAGGGCAGTCCCGTAGGCGCTGGAGGAGGGAGGTAGGAGAAGACAGCAACGAGTGGGAAGGACCGTCAGGAGCAAAGGACAACCGAGAGCACCTGTCTCATCAGGAGGGGCTTTACTACAACGTCACCATCTTCGGCCGGGAGTTTCACCTGCGCCTGCGCCACAACGCCAGGTTGGTGGCCCCCGGAGCCAAGATGGAGTGGCATGATGATAGTGACAGCATCCGGTACTCTGAGCCACTGCATGATGAGTGCCTGTATGTGGGTGACATCACAGACTCCCCAGGAGCCACTGCAGCTATCAGCAACTGTGACGGCCTGGTGAGTGGACAGCCTGTTCTACCCGTGTTCATTTCTGGCTGCTGAGCTCAGCATAAAGACGTCTCTGAATAGGGATGGAGGGAGGGTTGACACTGGAAGAGATTTGAAACAAGTAAAACAAAAACAAGTGTCCTTTCTTTTTCCTTGATAAGCTCACATTGACTACATGTAGATTGACTGACCAGATAATTTATTTTTATTTTTTTGGGGGGATAGATGCTGATCAATACACAATGCTACATTTGATTGAAGGCTGGTTAAGAATGCAGTTCCGGTCATAAAGTTATAAATTTTTATAAAAAAAAAAAAAAAATTCTGGTTTAGGTATATAGGACTTGAACAGATAAGAATAAAACTGTTATCATTATTCTTTATAAATATGAAATTATTCATTGAAAAGTTAGCATAGTGTTTGGATGAACTTCCTGTTGAAGTCTGCTGTGGAAGGCCTCATCTTTGTGGAAAGTGCATTCTAAGACATTCACACTGTGACTGTGCTGCCTAGAGATGTGTTTTAATCCCCTCTGTATGTTCAGGTGGGAACGATACAAACTATTTACAAAACAGCAAAAGTCAGCTTACAAAGATTTATCTGTGCATCCCTATCTCACTCTATCTGCATGCAGGATTTAGACTTGATCGCTGGTCCTGCGACAACGTTCAAATATGAACTGCCCGCATAAAATATTTTGGTTGCACAACAGTTGTTCAGAGAGCTTTTAATAGAGCTGATGATGGATAGAGAAACAGGAAGGAGATGGCAAACTGTTGGTGAAAGACTATCAGTCAGGGAGGTGAAGTGAGATATTTAGACAGTGTGAAGACTGTGCACAGTCAGGAACTGAGATGAGAGGATGAAGCGAGACAGAGGCCAGTATCAGAGGAAGAGGTGGATGAGACAAATGGAAGATAAAAGCTTCAGGGAAGAGGAAGAAAATAAAGATTGTAAACTTAAAGATGCAGAAGTGGGGGATAAAAAGGGTAACGTTAAGATTTAGCATAAGGGGTTCCCCTTATTAGTAAAAACGGTCCATTAGTCAGCCAGATCAGCCCACCACTGAAGCTGAGCAGCAGCAACTGGATCCATTTAGGCTCCAGGTCACTGGGGACTGACTGAGCAGCTGAGAGAGCAGGCAAGCAGCCAGGACAGCACCGGCCCGACATGCCCACTTAGCTTGACACCAGCCAGCGGCATTTCACCGCTGCTGCTTCTTGTTCTGGTCATTTCAGGGTTTATTGGAAACACCCAGACGAGATTAGTGTTGAGGCCGGTTTGTAACGGACCACAGTTCAGTCAGTAACAATCACTAGTTTGTTGATTAGGTTAATTTGTTTTATGATTTCTGCTGAAACAGCTGTAACTGTTTTTCTTTTTTTTTGTTAGTGAGGCAGGAAATGATTAATTCTTAATGTGACCTGTTCTAAAAATGTGGAAAAATAATATCCCATTCCACCTTGTGTGCAGGAATGAATTCTTAACTAATTTGTGATGTTTTTGACCACTACTCGTAGTGCAGAGCAGCATTTTCAGTGGTTTGGGGGTGTAGGGGGTGGTTATGGGAAATGACTGAATGAATATTTGAAGCAATGCACAAGCAAAGAAAGGATTGTTTGCTGTAGCAATAAACACAGTAACTATGACCAACTGAAAGAAAGCTCTAATTGTTGTTCTTCAACATGGCTTTAAATACACCTGAGGGACTTCACAGTCGAAAAGCCTTATTGACATGACTCTACACGTTGTATCTCTTGTGGTGAAATTACAAATTTACCAGTATAATGCAATTGAAAACATTGTTTTGTTGTA